TGATGACGATCCATATGGCCAAGGATCAATTCTACAGAGGCCGAATCGCCAGGTTGAAGTGCGTAGAGACTGCCCTTACCTTGATACTGTTAACCGCCAGGTAGATAATTTCATTGTAATCGCTGAAATTTGAATAAGTATTTTTTTCAATTACTTATGGTTTAGCCAAATGGTTTCTTAATTCTGTTTACAGGTGCTGGATTTTGATTTTGAGAAGTTTTGTTCGGTCTCTTTGTCTGTGGGAATTTGAATGTGTATGCATGCCTGGTCTGTGTGAAGTATTTCCAAGGAAGAGGGGAGAATTCCCATGCTTATACTCATAGTCTAGAAGCAGGGCATCATGTCTACATCAATCTTCGAACAGAGAAGGTGTGCTGTCTCCCTGATGGGTATGAAATTAATATCGTTGGACGATATACGCCATGTTCTAAACCCAAGGTTTGCTCATATTTCACTTGATTGCTTTTACAGTTTTACCTGCCTTTCCTTTTTTCCTTTTTGTTGTTCATCCTCCCTTTTCTTACTTTTTCGCTGCAAGGCATACACCAGTGCATTTGGTATTATATGATTCTCTGGATATCTAGCTTGTATGCAGAACGTGCCTGTAATTTGCTGTGGATTATCTAGCTTCAAGAAGTCTTTTTTTCCCTCTCTTTAGAGCTTTTAACTCAAAAGTTAAATGTTTTTTTTGTTTGCATTAACTATTACTGGTTGATATTTGCAAATTATTCCTTCCTATGTCCTTCGTGTTACGAATGTAACATGTTGGATATGAAGGGGTTTTTTAATGAGGCCTAATATTCTATCAAAAAATATATATTTGCAAATTATTTGCTTTCAGTTTTTCCATTTTCCATTTTCAGTTAAATGTCCTTTTTCCCTCTCTTCCTTTTTTTTTTTGGTTTGGCTCCATATTTGCAGGTTTTCGAGAGAACAACTTGACAAGAACAAGCAATGGTCTAGGGCACTTGATGGTTCTGATTACCTCCCGGGGATGGTAATAATCTTTGTTCTCAAATTGAAGGGCACACATGTTAGATAAATTTTAAATTTTTTTCCTTGTGTTAATATGATCTCCTTTTCGTGCTAATCTTCAGGTGGGGCTGAATAATATTCAAAAGACTGATTTTGTCATTGTCACAATTCAATCTTTAATGAGAGTTACTCCCTTAAGAAACTTCTTCCTTATCCCTGAGAATTACCAGCACTCAAGATCTCAACTTGTTCATCGATTTGGAGAACTCACAAGAAAGATATGGCACGCTCGAAACTTTGAAGGACAGGTTAGATCATACTTATATTTTTGCATGATTATTGTTCTGGAACATATTGGATTTATGTTTTTTTCTAAATCACTTGTGTCAACAGGTGAGCCCGCATGAGTTTCTACAGGCAGTTATGAAAGCCAGTAAAAAATGGTTTCGAATAGGCATGCAGAGTGAGCCAGTTGAATACATGTCATGGCTTCTTAACACACTGCATGCAGATCTTAGAACCTCGATGAAAAGTAGCAGCATCATCCATAAGTGCTTTCAGGTTATAACTGAAACGTTTCTCTCATTATATCATGCTGTAGCATAAGTTTTTGTGCTTATTTTACATGTTGATATTAATAGGGGGAACTGGAGGTTGTGAAAGAGATTCAGAGCAAAGCTATCAGCAAGAAGAAAGAAAGTGATGAGGAACAGAACGGAACTTTAAAGATTATGGATGGTACAATTGAGAATAATAACAATGTTTCGACTGAAACTCACAGAATGCCCTTTCTGATGCTTGGATTGGATTTGCCAGAACCACCACTTTTCAAAGATTTGATGGAGAAAAATATAATACCTCAGGTATTTGGGTGCGTTGTGGTATTTTTTTTCCTTATGTTCTGGCATCCAACTGGGAAAGATACGATTTGTGATGCTTTGTCTTTTTCTTCATAATTTGTGACGCTTTTAATGCATCTAAGTTAAATTTCACTTATGAATTTTGTTTTAGGTTCCTTTGTTTAATATACTGAAGAAGCTTGATGGTGAGACAGTAACGACTACTGTTCGTCCTCCAGCAAGGATGAGATACCGAGTTACCAAATTGGCACAATACTTGATACTTCACATGCGCCGCTTTACTAAGAACAATTTCTTCAGAGAGAAGAACCCAACATTGGGTGAGTTTTATGTTCTTGGAAGTATTTTAGTTGATTGATCAAGCTCTCTATTGCAATCATTATATCCCATGGGATGCATCCAGGTCGTTTTCACTTTAAATCAACTTAATGTTTCTCTTTTTCAGTGAACTTTCCTGTGAAAAACCTCGAGCTGAAGGACTACATTCCTCTGCCTGCACCAACCAAAGATAATGAAAAGTTGAGAACCAAATATGATTTAATTGCTAATATTGTTCATGACGGTAAGCCTGATGAGGGGTTCTACAGGGTCTTTGTACAGCGGAAGTCAGAAGAACTATGGCAATTCTCTGAATATATTTTTTTCATTTATGTAATTGAAATGTTACAGACAGTGGACGACCATCTGAAATTTATATTTCACAGGTATGAGATGCAAGATCTGAACGTTTCTGAAACACTTCCTCAGATGGTTGCACTATCCGAAGCTTATATGCAGATATTTGAACAGCAACAGTAGGATAGAATAACAGGATAGAATATCTGATCAACCGATATCGAAGGTGTGTATGGTTACTTGGTTTTGATTCTTCAACAACAAAACCTTATTCTCATATGCAATGGGTTAAGGGGAGGTAGGATAGTAGGCTGCCCCCAATACCAGGTTGGGAGCAGTTTCCGTGGAAGACCTCCGGCAGTTAGAAAAATTAAAAGTAAAGATAGAAATGTCATGCATGTATAAATAAATAAATAAATAGTTAAACAGTTTTCATATGTAGTCTACATATGTGCGTCTGAAATGTGAAGTAATCCCTGTAAATAAATATCTGCATAAAAATCTCTGCATATAGACAGAAACGTAAGACCCGACTAATATTTAAAAAGAGCAAAACTTGAAGTAAAGGATACACAAAATTCAACGATAGCAAGCAACGAGAAGGAATAAAGTCAAATGTGTTAAAACCTAAACTAAAGCAATATTACTCTGCTATCGTAGTTTTAAGTCTTCATAAATTTCAATGACAGAAACGTATAAAAATAAGAAATCATGGAAATTACTACAAATGCATAAAAAGAAGACAGAAGTGATATACCCTATAGATGTGATCTCTACTATTCAGTTACCATGATCTTAAGTCTCTATACTTTCCTATCAGAGGTCATGTCCTCAATAAGGGTTAAATCCTTTAAATCAAATCTCAAGCAGTCTTTCCACTTCCGCCTTGGTCGTCCTCTCCTTCTGGTGCAAGGGATTTCTTTTTCATTCAAACAAGAAAAAATTACTCGAAATATTACTGTTTGAGTGAAAACCCAAATAAACTCCATTTTGCCTGGGCTGAAAAGACCTTCCAAGTCTGTGCTATTGCCAGCTTTAAAATACTAAAAATTAAATATATAAGGGGCAACATTCAACATGATTATTGTTTTTTTTTCTTGGTCCAAATTAAATAGGATTAACCAATTTAGTTTGATAATCAAGCACAATATTTGAGAAGTAGAATAGCAACTTCATGTAGCATTGGCTCACGTTATTTCTCTATGCTATTGTTACTCCATAGGTAAAACCAAGATCATCCCTAGAGGAATAAGGAATTGCACGGCTTTGTTTTCTACTAGTTGCCTGCTTATTTCTTTTCATTCCACTTGATATTGCCTTCGTACATCTAGGAGGAATCAGTGCTTTTCTTCATCACTTGACTTGCTAGCTTCAAGCTCCTGCTTTTCGCCTTCGGTAAAGGCCCTTTATCACCTCCATCTCTATCATTACCTCATTTTCTTGCTCTTGCTTGTTTGTCCATCAAAATCCAACAAAACCTGCCTCTAAATGCACAAAATGGCCATCGAACAATTATGAGCTATGCAGTAAAGATTCTGCTTTTTGCCTTATTGCTTTGTGTATATGATGACTATAGCAACTATATCCACCCCACAATCATGTTGGTTCTATATTCATTTAACATTTACTTTTGTCTAGAGATGGTCCTAGCATTGATGGCAACCCTGGCTCGAGCCATGTTGGGTCTCGAGCTAGAGAAACAGTTCAATGAACCTTACCTTTTCACATCACTGCAAAGATTTCTGGGGGCAGGAGATGGAACGTTACGGCAGCGAATATTCCAAGTATTTTACAAGTGATGGTGTATGAACCTGTGCTAGGTTATGGCAACGAGTATGCTGAGTATTTTAAGACTAACGTGTGTGACTTGTCAACAATATGGCTCCACTTCCGGTTGTTTTTGGGACTTGTGTCCAGCATTGAGCACGAGCTGATTTTCTACCTGGGACCTGGAAAATCATGTGGTTTTTTCTTCATGGAGCATGTTTTTCTGCAAAGATTGCTTTGAAGGTGGTGTTTGTGGAGAAGTGGTTATTGCCGAGGCCGGTTTTTACACCATTTAAGGTTGGATTCATTATGATTACTGCCCTCTGGTTGTTCTTCCAGCCACGTCTACGGTGTAAAGCCGATAAGAGGGCACTTGAAGACTGCGATTCTAGGCATGTTTCTTAAGAATGTTACTGCATTAACCTTCAGAATTTTCTAGTTTCAAAGGTTATAACGTGTTTCCTAAGAAATAGAATAACCAAAGCCGTCTCAAAAGAGCTTGTAATAGCAACAACAAATAAATCATTAAATTCAGTGTATATAACAATATTCAAAGAATATGAATTGCAGATGAAGTATTGAAGATGCAGTGTCCACGCAATTTACACTTACATCCCTTATAAAAGAGCCCTCCCTCTGGGAAAGAAAACGTGCCTTTGCACATATCATCATGGAAATAAATTCGAATGGATCATCCAATGCTTTGAATCTGTTATGAGTCTGGGCTATATAACCCAGCTATGTAATTGGCTACTCGATCTGATTTGATTAACCCAACATTTTGATCTATCTTTAATTAAACTAAATAGGATTAACCATTTCAGTTTGTGACCAAACATAATGTTTGAGGAAGAGATGAACAACTTCATCAAGCTCTGGCTCTGCATCACAATATCCCTATGCTACTGTCATTCCATCGGGAAGACGAAGATCATTCCCAAAGGAACTGCACGCCTGCTTTGTTTCCTTCCGGTTATCAGCTTCTTTCTTGTCGTTCCACTCAATCTCTCCTCCCTACATCTCGGAGGTATCACCGCTTTCTTCATAACTTGGCTAGCAAGCTTCAAACTCTTGCTTTTTGCCTTCGGCAAAGGCCCTTTATTGCCTCCTATGTCGAGATCTTTACCTAGATTTCTCGCTGTTGCTTGTTTGCCCATCAAAATCCAACAAAACCAGCCTCTAAATGCACGAAATGGCCATCAAACGGTCACAAACTATGCAATCAAGATTCTGCTTTTTGCCTTGCTGGTTCATGTTTATGATTACAGCGACCATATCCATCCTGTTATCATGTTGGTTCTGTATTCTTTTCATGTTTATGTTCTTCTAGAGATGGTCCTAGCGTTGGTGGCAGCCATGGCAAAAGCTCTGTTGGGGCTGGAACTAGAGAAACAGTTTGATGAACCATATCTTTCCACCTCACTGCAAGATTTCTGGGGCAGGAGATGGAACGTTATGGCGACGAGTATTTTACGACCGACGGTGTACGAGCCTGTCCGGGACACGGCTGCATGTTTCGTCGGTCGTAAATGGGCTCCGATTCCCGCGGTGTTCGGGACTTTTTTCGTGTCGGGCGTCATGCACGAGCTGATTTTCTACTACCTGGGAAGGGTGTCGCCGACGTGGGAAATCATGTCGTTCTTTCTACTCCATGCGACATGTTTGACGGCGGAGATTGCCGTGAAGAAGGCCGTGGTTGGGGTGAAGTGGCGGTTGCCCAGGGCGGTTTCTGGGCCGTTGACGGTTGGATTCGTTTTGTTTACTGGCTACTGGCTCTTCTTCCCGCTGCTTCTACGATGCAGGGCGGATGAGAGGGCGCTTGAAGAGTACGCGGCCGTAGGCGTGTTTGTTAGGAAAATTCTTGTGTGTTTACTGAGGCTGTAATTCGTTAAATTCGGTGTTTGTAGATGTCGTTTGGGTGGTCCTACTCTTAAATTATTGATGTTTTATTTAATCATTGCTACAATTGATAAATTTATCATCACACAATATATACAGTTAATGACTTAATGGCAATAAAAAAGAGAACATGACTTAATAAGAATTTTAATATGAAATAATTGAATAATACGATAATATAAAAATTAGTTGACACTTATTTCCATATGTAATGGGGTAAGGGGAGGTAAGATAATAGGTTGCCCTCAACGTCAGGTTGAGAGCAGCTTCCGTGGGAGACCTCCAAATTATGAATTGCCCACCGTGAGACTCAATTTCACGACCTCAAGGTTAAGAATATTGTGCTCTATCAACTGAGATGGATAGGCAATTAAATAACACGATAATATGATATATATAACTAAATATTACAACTAATTAATATGTAAATGTATTTTATTTATATTTTAAATCATTTTAATGAAAAATAAAAATAATTTTAATATATTATAATTGAAATATAGCGAAAATTTTCGTTGACTTAGAATTTTCCTAATAGTTGATGGTTTATTGTAGTAAGCATTTTAACTTATACATTAACTTGTTTATTTTTCGGTTAGAGTAAGAATTTTATATTTTATATTTTATTATTTATTCATTATATATTTGAAGAAATTTTAAAGGAAACTTGATTTTATTGAACTAGTCTATTTTAATATAGAGTTATTAAATAAGATTAGAATCCGATCAACGTTATAATATTTTAAAATATAAGATATAATACATTTCAGTTCAATAAAATTAGAATAATAAGACAATTTATTAATTTAAAATATGTAAAATGATATATTTCAATTATAACATATTAAATTCACTTTTATTTTAATTTTTGCATTAAATGTGATTTAAAATATAAATAAAACATATTCATTTATTAATCAATTATAATATTATATATATATATATATATATATATATTATATTTTCATACTATTAAATTATTTCATGTTTAGGTCCTTATAAGGTACTTTATTACCGTTAACTATATTATAAATTATATAGACTATGTTATGTATACTAGATAGATTTAGTGGTTTAGACACGTGACACTATTTGATTCAATGAAAAATTTATAAATAAAAATTATTAAAAAAAGTTCAATCACATAGTGACACATGTCACCATAAGATTGAGGATTAAATTTATAAAATTAAATAAAAGTTAGAACTAAATTAATAGAATGTGTAAATAATGAGGACTAAATGTGTAATTATATAAATTTTATTAATTGTCACATCATCTCCTCCCTTAATATTTAACAACATTTGGCTTTATTGACAATATTTAAATAGTTAGGTGACTAATCAACAAAAATAAAAAATCAGTGGTTAAAGTAAAATATGTAAATGGTTAGGTGGTCATGGTATATATTAGTTGGCCCTATTCCCATATATAATAAGGTAAAGGGGAGGTAGGGTAGTAGGTTGTCCCCAACATCAGATTGAGATCAGCTTCCGTGGAAGACCTCGAATTATGAATTACCCTAAAAACTAATGTTTTATAAATATTGTATTTTAATTAAATTACATTTAAATTTTTAACTAATTTATAATTATATGTTTAGTACTTTATAATTTAACATTTTATAAATTAATTTAATGGTGATTATCATTAACAGTGCACATTCGTGCTCCTCGAGTGTGGTAACATCATCAAATCATTATTATGAAAAAAAAATCTTTAAAATATTATCACAAATGGTTTGTAAATAATAAATAGGCTTAATGTAAAAATAAGTGTCTAAAGTATATTTAAAGTCAATTTTAAATGTCTAAAGTAGTATTCGTAAAAAATAAGTGTCTAGTATTTACAATGTTATATTTTAAGTGTTTGTCGTTAAATTCGGCTGTTAAATAACACATGTCAAGTTTATAAAAATTTAAAATTTAATTATTTTTCAAATAAAAATATATAATTTATTTAAAAAATTCAATTTTTCTTGAATCTAAGAAAAATTCATAACTCTAAAAATCATAATTCAAAATCCTTTTACTCATGTCGGCCGTCATCGATGTTGTCTTATTATTGCCCTTTGTCACTGGTCACTTCATCTAACCAAATTTCAACGCATGACAAGAGGAATCATTGTTTGAATAGTTGGAATCATCGTTTTTAGTTGGAATCAATAAGTCGTTGCAATAGCCCATTTTTTATACAATCGTCGCGGTAATCATGGAAGTTCGACCTTAGATGTTCAGGCGGTTGTTGTGGTTGGTGGTGTTAAGGGAATTGAAATTAGGGTTTCTAGAATTTTGAGTTTTTTTTTTCTAATTTCAATTTTTTATGTTTTTGTTAAAATAATAATTTTAAGTATTTTTTAATAATAAATAAAATTTTATATGCTTAACACGTGTCAGATAATGGAAAATTTTAATAGTGGTTACAATCCAGGCACCTAAAAGTATAACATTGGAAACGTTAGACACCTATTTTAAATGAAAATTTCTTTTGTCACCTAAAGTAAACTTTGGATATTATTTAGGCACTTATTTTACATTAAGCCTAATAAATATTAAATGAATTTTATACTTTTATGGTTAACTTCATTACACATTCTCAAATTGTAATCTTTGTTTTAAATTAGTCTTTAAAATTTTAAATGCAATGTGATCGAAAACTCGATTGCAACTGTAACTTAAATTCCCGCTCTTACCTGTGATCACCAACCATCAAGGGAGGATGAAAGGAACAAAATTGAGAATTTGGTGAGTTGTTGCTCAACTAAACCACTATTAACTTTTGTTTTTTATGATTCTCATCCATGGATCGAAGAGAGAACCATTCTTATCGGCAACAACAATCGGCAGTGACTGATTACAATAATCGATGGTGATGAGTGATGATCGAGATTTTAATTGGATTTAAGGGTCAAATTAATATTTCATCTAAAATTTAGGATTAAGTTGATATTTATCTAAATTTGAGGTTCATATTAATATTTTGTCTAAAATGTAAGGGATAATTTAAAGTTTAACCATTTTAATAATGTAATAAACTGACAAGGGAAATGACCAAAATGTTACGTTTTCAAAATCAGTAACCAAAATAGGATAAAATAAAAATAAAAGGAACAATATGCATAGTTTATCCCAGTAAATATAACCGACTCGTGTCCCATAGGATTATCGTTAGGAAAAAGCTACGAGATTCTCTCCTCTTTCGTTTCACCGATCGAAATTTCAATTTCATAAATCTCTCTCTCGAAGGATTTCCATTGCGTACCTCAATTTCAACGAACGGAAGAGCACCGCGTGTAAATTTGATTTATTATTCGATTTTTGGTTTTTTCAGCATTAGCTTAAAACCCTAGAGCCTCTTCTGTTTTTGCTTTTTCTATTGGGGAGCGAAGGAAAGAGGGAACAAAAATGTCTTTTGATCTGATGCTGAAACCCACATGCAGCGGCTGCGGATCGTCCCAAGATTTGTACGGCAGCAACTGCAAGCACATGACCCTTTGCGTCTCTTCTGGCAAAACCATGGCCGAGAACCAAGGTAAATGCTTCGAATGTGGCGCCATTGTCACCCGCTTGATTCGAGTTCGTCACCAATCTTAATATCTTATTAGTACCAATTACATGTTTCAATAAATGGGTTTATAGTGATTGGATTAATTATTGAACATTGTTTTTTGAATTTATGTTGATTGAAATTTAGGAATACAATGTTAGAGCAAGTCCTACCACCGACAAGACCTACTTTATTGGTAGGTTTATGACTGGTTTGCCCAATTTTTCAAAGAAGAAAAATGCAGAGAATAGATGGTCTATGCAAAAAGATGGATTACAAGGATGCCAAGTTACTGAAGCTATGCGGGTATTTAGTTTATCCTTTTCATCTGTTTTTGCATGTTCTATAGCCTTCACTGTAAAACAGGATAGCCAAATTATATAGTGATTGCATACTCCAAGTTCCTGGAGAAAAAAAAATGGTTTGAGTACATTGGCGAGTATGTGTTTAAAGAAAATTTTATGGAATTCTTTTAGGATTTGAGAGTCAGACCCATAATTTTTATGTTGGCATGTAATATAATTGCTGTACAAGTAGGAGTAAAAAGTAGACTGAAGCATTACTTTTATGTGCTACTGAACCAAAATTGATGATTACAAAGAATATAGCGAATGAAAATGTTCATATTATAAGGAAGAAAAAATTCAGTGTTTTAAAAAGCGCGCCTGAGGCGCTGGGCGAGGCGTTTAGAAGAAAGCCTCCGACCACCAAGGCGGCGGCGAGTACATGAGGCGGAGATTCAGTCGTCGGAGGCGGCGAGAGGCGACGAGGCGAGGCGATTCACGTACAATGACCCATTTATGTTCTGAGGAGACAGTATTAGGTGGAGTTCCAGGGCAGCAGATTGTGTCGGGGGTTTGTATTGATGGGAGAGAAAGGAGTTTAAGCACGGGGGTTGTCACCTTGGGCAAAGATAAGGCTGATCAAGAAGATGGGCGCAATGTTAAAACAAGTATGTTAGAAGTTAGTGGGCTGCCAGTTGGCAGTGATAATAGGACAAAAATAAGTGGGAAGCACGTGGGTCTGAAATCGAGAAATACGAACTTCTCGGATTATTCTGCACGTTAGGTTGACTATGGTGTTGCACATACTTCAATTAGGAAATCCAACCATACTGGGCCTGTTAAGTTGGTTGGGAATGGGGCAGAATGGTGAGTTGCAAACTGAAACGGATGATGTTTTGATCCAGTGGCAGTCTGTAGGGCCGAGTAGGGGTGACGGGGATCATGGTGTCAATACAATTATTTCTGGAATCCAAGAGAGGGGGAAAGGTTATGTGGAACTCAAAAGAAGTGCCTCGAGTACGTGAATCCCTCGCCTCAAAGCGCCTCAAAAATTGAGGCTCTCGGGTAGCTAATCGCCTTGGAGCGCCTCGTGCCTTTTAAAACATAGAGAAAAATTCCCTTTTACTTGGATTGGTTTAATTATGGACATATTTACTTTGATGCTGACTATAATTATTGTTGGCTTGTATTTTTTAGGAGAAATATAGGAGCAAACCTTGGTTATTGGAGGATGAAACAGGTCAGGCTCAGTATCAAGGTCAACGCGAAGGTTCACAATCTGCAACCTATTACGTGCTTATGATGCAAGGAAAGCAATTTGTAGCTATTCCAGCTGGTCTTGGTATGGGTGACCTATACTATTTTTTGTTTTTGACTGCTCATAATTTTTTCCACCACTTATCGCACTGTTATATTATTTGTAGTAAAAGTATTGGTATTTTTTAACATTTTTTTATTATTTTTTTTTAAAATTGTTGTACTCTTTGACAGGTACAACTTTAACAAGATTGCACAATATAAACAACTTACACTGGAAGAAGCGGAAGAAAAAATGAAGAACAGGAGGAAGACTGCAGATGGATATGAGAGATGGATGATGAAAGCCGCTAATAATGGTGCTGCTGCATTTGGTGAAGTGGAGAAGATTGATGAAAAAGAGAGTACTGCTGGTGGTGGGAAGGGACGTAAAAAGTCAACTGCTGAGGAGGAAGAAGGTCATGTATCAGATCGAGGAGAAGAGGATGAAGAAGAGGAAGTAGCCAGGAAGAATAGGCTTGGACTCAACAAAAAAAGTGGCGATGATGATGAAGAAGGTCCAAGGGGAGGTGATCTTGATATGGATGATGATGATATTGAGAAGGGTGAGCTTTTATAATGTTTGTGTCTTGGTATATATTTCTTCTTAGTTATCATTTTTGCTTTATAGAGAATTTGGTTTTGTGTCCATGTTGAGCTAGAAGATCAATGAAGTTAACATAGAAATAGTATAAAATAACTATTGAGATAAGGGTGACACCTATTTTAATATCTTCTGAACGTGGATTTCCCTCAAATGCATATATGTACTGTTAGGTTTAAGGATTTGCTATATGTACCTTATGGGTGGGATTCATCTGAACAGTTTTTCTTCCCAAAATATATTTTAAATGAATAACAGAGCTACCTGAAGGTATATACTAATACTTTTATTAATGTTGAGCATATGCATCACATAAACACACATCTGACACTGAAGGTCTCTAGATTGTCACTTTTTACTAGAATTGGTGTTTCATTTGTTGTTTATTAACATGCATTTTGTTTAGGTGATGATTGGGAGCATGAAGAAATATTCACTGATGATGATGAGGCCGTTGGTAATGATCCTGAGGAAAGGGATTTGGCTCCTGAAGTTCCTGCTCCTCCAGAAATCAAGGAGGTAAACTTTAGACCCTGGCAACTTTGTAGTTTGTACAGCATGGTACACTGTTCCACCCTTTTTTTAATATTTACATTTTTCTCTATTCGAAGACTGCTGCATTTCGTAACAGTGGGTTAATAGGATTGCAATGTTTCGATAAATAAAATCTTTTAATAATCAGAAGTGATTGGGAGACCATCTTATAGAAATCTAAAAGAAGCTTTTTTTAGGCTTGAGAGTTAGCTTATCTTTGGTGGTAGACTGCTCATACTTACATGAGTTTTCTGCAAATAAGAATCATTTGAGTTGTTTAGTAATGTATTCAGATCAAAGTGTTGGTATCTGGTTGCATTTTATGTCTTCCCGCCAAAACAATTTCTTACTTCTATTGATGAAGATGGTATTTTATCATTTATGAAATGACAGTATGACTAATTTCCTTTGGATAGTAAATAATCTTTTGTTTGTTTTCTTGCAAGATGAAGATGAGCAGGATGAAGACGAGGAAGGAGAAGGAGGACTGAGTAAGTCTGGGAAAGAGTTGAAGAAACTATTAGGAAAAGCTAGTGGGCTGATGCATCAGATGCAGAAGATGAGGAGGAGGATGAGGAGGATGAGGATGTAAGCATCAAGGATACCTAAGAAACTCTTATTGCAATACATTTCTAGCTAATAAAAGCTAACATGAATTGGTCTTGCTTTTGTTTTGTATCATCATTTTGGTTTATCATTTTCTGTAGTTATGGTGCAAGTTTGACCTCTTCTTCTTAAGAGAGAAGAATTAACTAGTCTCTGCTTAACCTTACATGAATCTTTTGTGGAATCTATTCCAATTATGCTTATGCCTAGGTTTTTTTTTTCAGGTGGAAGATGATATGAACTTTAATCCTGTACTTGCTCCTAAGCAGAAGGATGCACCTAAAGAACCTGCTGACAACAGTCCAATGAAACCAGCATCTTCAGCTTCTGCTAAGGGAACCTCAGCTGCATCTAAGTCATCAAAGGGGAAGAGAAAAGCCAATGGTGATGATACAAAAGCATCCAATGGTACCTCTGTGAAGAAGATTAAATCAGAACCTGTATGTTACCAAAGCTCCTAAACTTACCCTTTGCACATGTAGATGTTTTTAAGAAGAAATATGTTTTAATTGTCAACTTATTGTGTACTTTTTTTAGGATCAGGACTCAAAAGCTTCTGTGAAAGAGGAAAATACAACTGCTTCCAAAGGCAGTGTTCCTTCCAAAGGCACGTCATCGTCTAAAAAAGCTGGACCAACATCAGCTACCAGTGGGTCTTCATCTTCAAAAGCAGGTTCAGCATCAGCTTCTGGACCTGTAACTGAATAAGAAATCCGAGCTGTGTTATTACAAAAGGCACCTGTAACAACGTCTGATCTTGTGGCTAAATTTTGAGCCAGGCTAAAATCCCCAGAGGTATACTTTTATAATCCTTTTCTCCTTCCTGTATTGTTGGTATAATATGTATTGCTGTTTTTTCTGAATCACTGAAGAATGGAACACTAGCATCATAGATATTGTTCTTGCATATTGTAACTGCACAAGGTAGTTCTGGACCAAGACGGTAAGATATGTGGCATATGCCCTACTAGATAAACAGATCAATGTAGAAAACACCACGAGATATACTTATTTGTTTCATGCATCCGTTACATAAGTAGATAAATCTCTTTGGTGCAGGACAAGAAGGCTTTTGCAGACATTCTCAGGCGGATTTCTAAGATACAAAAGACGAACGGGCCTAATAATTACGTTGTGTTGAGAGAAAAGTAATGGTTCCATCACCTTGTTTAAACTTGCACCGTAATAAAATTTTCTTATGCGTTGTCCTTCAACCGAGGGGAAAATGTATCTTGCTCTTTCTGGAAATGAATCTTCCTAGTGGCAAGACAGCCAGAAACAAGAGGTGATAAAGAAGGGTATGTGGTCTATCATCATTGTAAGCAAAGCTTCTTTATGTGTGGAAATTAAGACAGGTATCTGGAGACGTTGTGTACAGAAAGAAGAGTGCCATTAGCATTTTAAAATAACAGTGCATCATCCTACTGTCATGTTCATTTATACACACACCTTAGTAGTTGAGACAGGCAATATTTGAAATTTTATTGCTTACAAATCAGGAGGCAAACATAATTTTAAAGAAACGATTTATACTGCCAAAAATCATATCTAAAAGGCCATACAACTGCAAAGCCATACAGCAACGAATAACAACATGAAGTTTCCATAAAGCTGGACCGATCCAGAAGGGGTTGTCGGTGCAATGGCGTCCGCCACGGTGGTGGTCAAAATTGAGTTGTCCACCGCTGCCGCTGTGACTCTGGGCATTTCGGTGTCGGGGTTACTTAAAGGCATCACCTCCACGTGTAGCTTCAGACCCTTTCTGCAGCTCTCAGGCTTGCTGCTGACGAAGTATCGAATCCCTTCCTCAACCAAATCGATGCCCTCTAAGCCGTACGTATACATCCTAATGGGATTCCTCACATCGCACGACTCGTATTCATCCTTGCTCTCGAGCTCCACGATGCTCTCCTGCGCTGCAGAGTAGGCGAACCCTGTACAAAATTCACAATAGCACCAGGTGAAATAATTTTCCGGGCTAATCAACTAGACATCCCAAACTATGGCTGCCTTTCTAAATTAGTCCTTAAAAAAATATTATATCAATCAAGCCCTTTTTTCATAAATTATTCATTCACATATTTTTACTAATAAGCAAACAAAAACGAAACATTGCATATAAATATTTAATCACAACCACAACCCAATACATTAACTTACAGATTTTGTCTCCAACCCTGAAGCTCCGACCGGACGACCAGGTAGCGATGTCAGAGGAAGGGTCCCACCCCCGGTCGTTTCCGACCACGTGATGATGCAGTTGTGATGCAACAACCCATTTCGGTCCAAGGCTGGGTGCCATTATTACAACCAGAGCTATCGCCATGTTCAGTATTATTACATTAGCCATTGTCACTCCACAGGGAACCTGGGAAAAAAGCAAAGGCGCCCTCTGTTCCTTAAAAATAAACGGTTTCTTTGAAACAGAAAAGTAGTTGGTGAAGTATTGGTTAAGCAAGAAACGAGCGGCTTTTACTACAATCTAGAGGGGAAAAGGAAAAAGAAGGAAGCTTCCATCCTCCAAGCAGAGGATTGGTAGTTGTGGACCCATTCAATTTGTCTTAAAAGTAAAATTCATCGAGTGATTTTAATTATAAAATAGAATATTGTTTTATTAGAATATTCAAGTTTAAACAATTACATTTACAACGTGTGCGTACGTTGTAATAAACTAATAAAATTTCTTAATAAATACTAAATTATAACCAGACTATTCATAAAAAATATATTAAAAGTAAAATGAATTTAGATAACTTAGATGTTATACAAATATTTATATATATATTTGATACACAAATTTTTATAAATTTTAGTTTATACAAATTTATCTAATTTAGTATTACATTTTAATTAGGTTTTAGAATTGAGAGTTATGGTTTAGAATTTTAAAGTTTAATTTTATAAATCCAGACTTTAAATTTTAAGTAGACTAGATTACATGAATTCTAATTTACACAACCATTTGTATATAAAAAAAATTAGTGTATAGAAAACAAATTTCATTTTGAGAACATATTAATTTTTGTTTTACTACCCCACAAGGGTAAATGTCACCCTCGTGATTGGTTGAAAGCTGCACAGCACCAGTCATAGAATAACTACCATTTAACCACCATCCTTTCTCAATGTGTTTGCCTTTTTTACAATTACCTTTACTTTCTTAATCCTAAAATTAAGGCAATTTGCTTTCTTTTTAAATTGAATGTTTTTCTTTCTATTAGATTTGGTTTTGAAAATAATGAATCATTCATCGTACTTATTCTCAAAGAATCAAAGGTTTATATTTAGTTTCGGATAAATGATAAAAGTTTATTTTTAGTTTCAGATAAATGACTTCATCGTACTTTTATTTGAGCATTTGACCTATTTTAAACAATGTGTAACTTCCTTTGTCAATTCACAGATAATGCAGATTTATCTTTTTCATTGGAATTTACCTACAGACATCACCCATCGTCCCCCACTGTACCCACGTTTTTTGTTTACTAATTGGGTTAGATATGGGGTCTCTGCGTAACAAATCACAAGAACGAAAGTTTTACTAAAAGTGTCAATCGTGAAATTTTATGTGTTCATCTCATATGAAAACTTTATGTTATCACAATATGTCCACCCTCAAAAATATTTTTGGATCATCCACTGTAATAAACTGCCGCTCTCTACAATTTACATAGAAACGAACACATAGTTTTATACTAGGGGAAAATCTCTAAAATTTTAAGAGGTTTAAAAAAAATTCAGTAAAAAAACATAATAAAAAATTTAAAATATATTATAATTTTAAATTTTTAAAGTGACGACTACGTCCTCCTCCAATCTATATGTGTCTAGATAGTATGCCTACCAGGGACCGAACCAGGAAGGTAAGACGGTGGCATTTGCTTTCTCAAACCCGGATTAAAGGTGTTTAAAAGATCGGTTAAACCAATGAAATATATAATAAGTCGAACTCAATAATTGTTTTTTTCCTATTAATTCGATTTTCAATTTAATAGATTAGTTAATTCCGTTGGTTTTCCATTTGAAGTTCCAAACTAAATTAACCTAATAAATGGATTTTATTTTTTAATTAATAAATATTTGTATGCCAAACCCAAACCCAATTCATGATAAATAAAAAAAAAACCAGGCCGAGCACCTAAGCCGAAAAGATAGAAAAACCCAACCCAAATTAATGTATGCTCAACTTGATTAATCTATTCCTACTTCACTCGTCGCATAATTTATGCAATAATTTGCCAATACATAAATGGATTTGTTGATGTGTCGTCAATAATTTATTCTAATTTAGATAGAATGTTATTGATCGATTATGTTCTAAATGTACGAGGTGGAATGAATTCTCTCTCTTCTCTCCCTTGTCATGGGAATATGAGACGGAATGATTTTATTGTAACATCCTAACCCGACTTGACTTGAATCTAAAGGATTCAAATACCACATGAAATCACCAAAGCAACTAATTATTTTTTAAACTATTTATCCAAATCGTAAGATAAAATCATTATAATCAAAATAAATAAATAATAGTTAAGTTCATAAAATATGGAGCTCCAAATAATACAAATCAAATATCAATAATAAGTTTTACAAAATAGAGTTACAAATGAAATAAGACAAAAGATTAATGAATGTACATGCCCTCTACAATAAATCAAGATGTACTTTGAATGAAAGACGGTCGAAACTCTGACTCAACGACGTGTTCCCCTCTCTCCACCTAAGAACATGGGAACAAAATCACATTTCAAACGTTAAGCTAACGTTGTTAAGTGTCGCACAAATAACTTTACTATAGTACATACATGCATGACATAAGCATGTCGACAAATATTGTCTGAGAAACAATATCATCAATACAATTAGTCCACAACACACAAACAAACATCATGATGTAGCTCGACGTTACATAGCCATCTGAATTCTCGAATGGAAGTCGTTATTGTAGGCAAACTCCACCAATGGAAGATGATCCACCCAACTATCCTTAAAATCAATAATGAAACACCAAAGCTTATCCTCTTAAATTTGAGCCACTCGCTTAGATTAACTGTCAATCTACGAGTGAAAAGTTGTATTATAAAGTAGTCGTTTACCCAAGGGCTCATGAAACGCTATCAAAAATCTCGAAGTGAACTGCAGATCTCTATAGAAGATAATCGAAGTTGGTATCCCATGTAACCTTATTATCTTGCTGATGTAAAATTGCACTAACCTCTCAAAGATGAAATCTATCAGTATAGGGAGAAAGTGAGAAGTTTTAATTAATATGTCTACGATGACCCATATTGCATCGTGCTTCTGATGAGTCATAAATAATCATGTCAAAAAGTCCATTGTCACTCTATTCTATTTCCACTAAGAAATTTAAATAAGTTGAAACAATCTTGAGGGAGTCTAGTGTTTCACCTTAACATGCTGACAGGCTAGACATCTCTATATAAACTCAAATACCTCTCTCTTTATGCATGTCCACCAATACAATTTGCGAAGCTCCTGATACACCTCGTTACTTATAGGGTGAATAGAAAATGTGCTACAACATGCCTCTTGAGAATCATATCTCTCAATTGATCATCTGTTGAAACACACAATCAGCCTTAAAAAGTACAATACATGACCATCACATTACTCAAAATTGGATGTCTCTTCTCGTTGAACTCACTCTACTCTACTTATCAAGGCATCATCATATGTATGAGTTCCCTTCACCTCATGTATCAACTCTGGCTCAACTTGAAGCTCGACTAACAATCCATCATTCTTTGTTGTATGTCCAATTTCTCGAACATTGCTCGTAAATATGATATTGATTTATGATTCAAGACATCATCTACAACATTTGTCTTACCCAAATAGTAATTAGTGATACGATCACAATATTTAAGTAGCTTAACTAATTGACACTAACTTAAGTTCAACTCTATTTAAGTAAGCAAGATCCAGTGATTCTTGTGGTCTATGAAGATGTATCACTTCTTTTCAAAGAGATTGTGCCTCCAAATATTCAAAGCAAAAATTATTGCTACTAGCTCTAATCATAAGTGAGGTAGTTACGCTCATGTAATTTGAGTTGACGAGACACATATATGACTGTCATCCCCTCATGCATCAAAACACATCCCAAGATGTCAAGTGAAACATCACTGAACATGATATAATTCTTGTTGGAATCTGACTGAGTCAATATGAGTCCTATGTCAAGATAACCTTCAACCTGTAAATTTGGTGCAAATGAGAAACTTGTGTAGATTTTTTGCACACATGTCGTGGTGTACATACAAGGTTGTTGCCTCTTTGATTGGGTTTTAATGAGGGAAAATGCTAGTTGAACTATTCATCATGCATACTTTGTTGCCACCGTGATCTACACTCACCCTACCAGTTGCTGATGAGAAAATTCAGGTTATGACGATAGCAAGTGGTTCACTCTTTCTAGTTTCGACAGAGAGCCACAACCGGTGGTCCTGATAAACAAAAGATGATGAACAATAGCTCTTGAATTAGGAAGAGAGAGGATCCGAGAGAGAAAGATCCCTTTTTCAACTTTGCATGATCATTTATATACATGTCCTTAGTATCAGTGTCAGGTCTAGAATAATGATTGACTATTTGTAAACCAATGGGGTGAGTAGATTTGATCATCATGTAGTAGATTTAGTTGGTCCACTAGATTGATAACGGTTATATCAAGTAATTGTAGTATTCCGGAATATACAAAATTCTGAAAATTTCCGAGAATTTTAGAGACCTCGATGAATAGTGAATTGTATGTACGATTTCCAGAAAAAACTGAAGGAGATACAAGAGTATGCCATTTGTTGATGCACGTTGATTTAATTGCTAAAACGGAAGCATCAGAGTGTTTTGTCAATTTTCAGAAATTGGTTGAGGTTGAATATGGCTACGAGATTAAGATTCTTCAAAGTGACTGGAACGGTGAATTCCGAAGGGTCTTCCAGTTTTGGTCCAATGACCATGCTGCCAATTTCAATGTGTTAACACAGAAAATATAGTCCTATGTGTGTGTGTATATATATATAATTTTCAACTGATAAATTTCCCATAAATAACACTTTCACATCAAAGCAAGAAACACGACCAACAATCGATGTCTAAAGCAAAGCCAATAACATGCAAGCAACACACATAGCAGACAACAACACAAGGACTGTTTCATTCACTCTCAAATGTCTCTGCCGCCGAGTAAAACACCACAATGTCACCCTCTTCAGGCAACATAAACCTAACCTTCTTCTTCTTCTTCGACTTCCCACTTCGGTTTCTCCTACTAAATGAAGTACCCGAAACATCATCCCCAGAACAAAGATTCAAAGAAGATTGCTGTACCCTTTTCGGAAAGTGTTTGAAGACATAGAGTTCACCTCCTTCGAGAGAATTCGGGTTCAAGCCTTTACGACCGGGCGAAGCTAATAGCCAGTCCCCTAGTGTCATCTTCCTGTTCCTGGGTCTCTTCTTCTTGGTTGTTTTCCTCTTTTTCAAGCACTTGGGTTTCATGGATTCAATGATGGATGATCTTTGATGCGAAGTAGTAACATTTGGATTCAATGACTTGGGTTCTCGCTTTGAATTGGAGTTCTTGCTTGCCTTTGCACCCATTGGAACTCCTTGTGGAATGAAATCACCAATGACAAAAAAAATTGGGAATTATAAAGACCAAAAGGAGATTCTAGTCTCCGAATATAAAATAATTGTAAAACAAAAAACACTAAAATTTAACATGTAAATCTTTTTCAAGAAAAACCTACATGCGAAAAGATAAGAAAATTACATCGAAAAAGAAGATTTATGAACGCTCATTCCTTTGATATTATTGGCGCTCGAACCGAGATATCAAATAATAACAACAAATTAAACTGTTTCATACCACAAGAGTCGAATCTCAATTTAACCCTTATTTAAAGTTAATTTATTCCTAATCATTTCGAATCTAATTAAAAATATTAAGGTCACACAACTCTAACACTATTTATGGTTCGGATTGTTATAGGATTTTTGAAAAATGACCAAATCATCTGATTCTTAGACAGGTCTACATTTAAATCATTGGCTTGAAGCAATTGGAATTTAATTGAGCAGTTCAACGAATGGAGCATTCACCAACAAAGAAAACGGGAGTGGCCTGCAATAGCTAGAGTACAAACATGGCCTGAAACTTACTTAGATGCCATTTATATCATCCTTTTTAGCTTCTCGTTCAGGGATGGACCGAGGAGTGCTAGAATACATTCACATTCCTTAAAAAAAATTAAATTCCTTTATATTTTAGATATTTTTCTTGTATTCTATATAAAATATCTAATTCCACACCTCTAAAATTTTAATATAATTTCTTAGGCTCGCATCTTCTGATATAAATTTTTTATAAATTGTTCGAATATAAATTTTAATATAATTTTTTAGGCTTGCATCTTGTATTCTCATAGACTCCTTTAAACAACTCACCACTTCAGCAAGAAGACATAAAATAAGTGTATGACCAATTAGCTTATCCATTAGCTATTAACGTTTTGTATTTGATAGATTGTTCGAATATAAATACTTTTATTATTCAAAAATGACTATAACTAAATTACATATGTTCACGTCTTGATAAAAAAATTTAATAAAATATATATAACTTTTAGCATGTTTTTAACAATATATATATATATATATATATATTTGTTTTTTCCCAGTGAATATATCCTTATTTTTTACTATTAATCTCAATCTTTAGTTACTCAAATTCAACGATCCTAAAATATTTAAATTTTTTCCAGTGAATATATTCTCGTTTTCTACTATTAATCTCAATATTTTGTTTCTCAAATTCAACGATACTAAAAATATGTACTTTTTTTTGTTTTACACTATGTAATTGGATCTTAACCCCCCTCTCTCTCTATATATATATATATATATTAGATCCCTCTTCACCAATAAATCAAAATATATATTGAATAATTAAACATATTTAATCATCTTTTTATATATTGCATTAACAACAATATCAATTAATTTTTTTTAATAACCTGAAATGATTATAATATAATATATATTCAAAATTTTTCTTAATCAATGACAACGAATACACACCCTTGCATACAATTGATATGGATTCATATTAAAGATGTTTGACCAATCAACTGGTTGAACTTTCGGTTACAATCAAATGGTAAATGTACTATAAAGGTTCATGGACCATAGTTTGAGTTGCATTTTAATGGTTACATTTTTAGAAATGAAAAAACAAGATCCGTGTACATAAAAAAAATAGGAAAAATATCATTTTTTAAAAGAAATATTAATTTTATAAGCTAAATTTAATTCATTTACATGATATTACGTTAAAAATATATGAAGGAAGGTGCATTCGATCCATTATAACTTTAGCTTTCATCTTTTTGCTTTTCTTTCATACAACAGAAGCTGAAGAATAAGAAAACATAGTGAATAAAAAAGTCAAAGAGTTGGAGTGTCGATTAAAATCTGGTTTGATGAGTGCATCCTGTGTAGTTTAGTTTTGTTAGTAATATTCTTCTGGGTTTTCTTTGCTCCGAATCAGAGGAACGCCGTCCTCTCTCCAAACTATCCGGTCTTCGCATAAAGCGGCTGTCACCTCCACATATAATTTATGTTCCTAAAAAGATACCGATGATCATCTTACAATCAATTTACTATTGTGTAATTAGATTCAGTGTGATATTGGAGTGAAGTTAGACGTAGGAAAACATTTCTTAAGGGAAAAAAAAAGACAAAATCAACTCACCTCTCGTAGAACCCTAGCGGCTAACTCCTCGGCGGTGTCAATTGCGAGAACAGGGACAGCTTTTTGTGCAAGTATCCGACCCGTGTCGTACTGCTCGTCAACAAAATGTATTGTTGCACCAGAGTATCTAAACAATCATAAACAATAACAACCCTGTACTAGCTGATATGGGTTCAAAATGCCAAGAATAACATAAAAACATGATACATGAAACTAAAGGCAAAACCATACCTTGCTCCAGAAGCAATAACTGCTTTATGCACTTTCATACCATAATAACCTTCACCTCCAAAAGCTGGAAGAAGTGATGGATGGATGTTAAAAATAAATCTAGGATAAGCTCGAATTAACTCCGGTGGTACAAGTTTCAGATATCCAGCCAAAAGAATGAAATCGACTTCAAATTCCCTGAATCAGATAATCAATCATTCCCGTAAGCAATAATCGGAAAAAATAACTGGGTAGACAGGCCAAAATAACTAGGTTGAAAGAAGAAAACAACCTAAGAACCTTCACAAGGTCATCAGAAGACAGGCCATTGAGTTCATCTTTTCTTTTTGGGAACAAAATAACCGGGATGCCTTTATCTCTCGCATATTGTGCACCTCCACAAGCTTCATCTCAAAAAAAAAAAAAAGAATGTGTAATTCCAATAGTTGCAAGAAGGTATTTTCCATCTCAAGAGTTTCCAATAGTTGCAAGAAGGTATTTTCCATCTCAAGAGTAGGCATTTAAAATTGAAGGACACCAACAACCGATAATCGAAGTACTTCAAAGCCTCTCTAATCACATCTTAATTCAATTTTTTTTCTTAAGCAACTATATTCTGGGAAGTACAAAACAGAAATATACAAATTTATAACTTTGACTCGCATTTTCTTTAAGAGAACAAATTACCGTGTTTATTAGTGACCAAAACAACAACGTCTCCATTGATAGAGCCCGCAATGCATGCTTGGTTAATTGACCTGAAATTCGAGCCTCCACCAGAGACAAAAACAGCTAGCTTTCTCCGCTTAACCCATGATTTTGAACCTTCCTTCTCAGAAACAATATTACTTACTTTTTCTACACTGTTTGAACACGTTAATCTTCTCACAGACATGAACCTTTCAGAAGCTGGGAAATATTGGAGTTTAAAGGAGACCTGATGTTTTGATCGAATGAAACAAGGATATGAAAGAGAATAGGATGAGGACGATAACGGATTTTGAAGCTTAGTATATAATGGGGTTATTAAATTTGAGCAATGCCCAGAAAACAAGCTCTGTGCTGACATTGAAATCAAAGATAAATGCAACAAATTTGGGGGGGGGGGGGGAGTTTCTGTATTCTCTCAACACTTAATAATATAAGAAATAGGACACTAAAATCCTTATATTACCATTCAATTGAATAAATGAATAAAACTGGAAAATATTCAATTGATATCTAGCACAAGGTTGCAGAGTGCATGAAATTTTCAAAATACTCCCTGCAACAAAACAAAAAAAATTAAATTAAATCACTTACATGTAGAGGAAGATCTAAGTACAACGCTGCCACCAACGATATTCAATCTGTAAAGCAAAACTAAATGTTCCAGACTTCAATTAAATTAGGCACTATTTGAGAACCTTAAAACACTTAAGTTTCTAGTAAAGAGGATATATATTTATATGTATATTTCAAAATTCCAGATTGCAAACCCTACAAAAGTTTTGCCTGATTGATTTGGGTAACTAGTTTGTTCATTTCAAGGAACTAAAAGAATCATTCCACACAGTACTCGCGGATGATATGAATAACACGTCAAGCATTATACGATTTCCCTTGATGAACTAAATCCACAGAACTTTAAATTCGAAATGAAAAAACAACCCTAACAAATATAAAGACATCATATCTATGGAAAAAAAAAACAGATACAAAACAGAGTATAATCTAGGTGATTTTTGTGAAGAGAATCACTTTATGGGAAAATCAAGCTGCAGCTACTGCTGGGAGCTCCAGCAAGGATCGAGACTTGCGAAAGAGAACTATGATTTAGGTAACCAAGGCAGAGACTGTAAGCAGGAAGGAAATGGGTGGTAATTGGTGAGAGTCTAAGAATGAGAATCATAGTGAAGAGGCGCCGCTTTTATTCTTAAAAATGGAATGAAGAAAAGGGTTGCATCAATTGGGCTTTTTTAACACATGGCCTGGTGCGAGCTAACTCATTAAGTGGATTTATCTTTTTGAATACCATTCAATAATAATCAACAATCAATAAGACGGTATTAAATCTATTAAGTAAATTCAGAGATTCGAATTTTGATATAATAAATAAAGAAGATTATCTTCATAAAAAAATCTATAATATTCAATTTAAATTAGTCTATCAATACTAAACGACCTTCAAATATATGAAATGATATGATATTGGATGAGTATATAAATTACAAGAATGTGGTTTTAAATCCAATTGTATAACTAATGAGTTGTCATAAAAGTTTGGAACTTTAAAATAGTTTAGAAGTAAATCTAAAATTCAAAGATGATGAGTTAATGTCATGACTATTTTATGGGAAGAGAGATGAAGTGAGAGAACAAAAGCATTATTGAAATCGATAGGGCTTCAGTTGATCAGTTCAGTATCTGTTGATGGCTCTAAAAATCAGAATTAAACTCAACATCATGTTACAAATTTCCACAACACAACATGCTAGGAACAATTCACAGCTATAGAGCCATGTATAACAACTTCTAATTAACATCAAAACAAGAAAAAACTGATAATTGACCCAGGAAAAACAGCATTTTCGGAAGATTTCGCCATCATTCTGTTGCAACAGCAGGCTTTGCCTCGCCCTCTGGAAAGTAATCATGTCTGAAATATCGACAACAGTGCATCAGAGAGCAGCCATAGAAATCAATGGCAACAGAGACAACATATGCTGCAAAGGTTAAAATAAGGGAAGGGAAACAGATATCATTCGTTAAGTTGACTTACTTTATTTTTCGGGACAGTTGGTATATGCCTGTTCCAGCCATAGCAATGTTCACACTAAATAGATTCCAGTTCTTCTGCATTTCAAAATCGAGGGATGACTGAGAATCAAAAGCAGACCAAGCTTTTATACTGATTACAAGTGGTAAAAGAACATTGAAGTTCCCATATGTACACATTTATAGGTAATCTAATCAATCACCAAACTTACCGGAGTGATTACAGTGCTATAGCGTGACCAGATGATTCCAGTTGCAGTAACCGCTGGTGTACCAGAAAGCAGCATTCAATAAATACAAGGAAGCAACTATTTCTGAATAAAATAACATGTGCAACACACAGATATAGATCTATTAGAAATCATAAAACACCACATACCTATTTGCTGAGGGTAGGAGAGTTTTTCTGGTGGTTTCGCAAAGTCAGCTATGTTGGCTATGCTAATGCCCCATTTAAAAGTTGGTGCCCAAAAGTGAACTGAAATGAAACAAACCAATAGGTTTTTTTATGTATGCTTTAAGAATCAATAACCGGAATCATTAAAATACCTTGTTAGTCTAAAGCAATAAACCACTTTGGTAGATTTTACAAGATTTTACATGTCAACATATCTTCTACAAAAATATCTCCTGCAGATTTTACATTTCAATGTATCATCTAACAAGATATCTATTTCTAATTATGGGATTATCAGAAGCTCATAATACCTCACTTCCCTCCATCAATCTATAAAGTAAAAATTCATGTAGCAAATTATAGTTGTGGCCTATGTTGCTCGAATTCTACATATTTCGCGTGGTCACAGCATTCGACACTCATATCAGACTCACAAATGAGAATATGACCTCCAAAAATCCTCCAATACATAGAAAATTTACAAAAATGTAACCATATCCTTGCCAGATTCATACCCATATCCAACACTCACATTCGAAACCGAGTGGCATGGCTTGCAACCTCAAAAACATGCAATAAGTTCAATTTGATTCTCATATTCCAATGCCATCAATAGAAGGGATACTAGTATTCTTTCCGTGTTGTGCAGTTTATATGCCTTCACTTGTTATCATATATTTTCAAAAGCCAAAAACTTGGGTTTCAATGTTCAGGGGAAATCAATCTAATTGGACATTCAAATTAAACAAAACTCAACTATTTGCACCAAATCTAGATTCTGGGAACCACCTCATTTCCAACCGAACAAAAAATCTCATCTATAAATTAGCGATTATAGTTTATTCGACATGAAAGTTCCATGAGAAACCCAAATACCGAACGAATCTTATGTATAAAAGCATAGATCTTTTCGGCGAAAAAAGAATCATGGAAAGATTGAGATTTCGCTAACACTTATTAATCCAATAAAGGATCTATCGATACGAGTAATTGGAATCTAATCATCGGATTAAAAGAAGGAACGAGTTAACTCACTGGTTTTGGGTCCGGCTGGGTGATTCCATAGAGCTTGTAGCTTAGAGGCCGCCATGGATTCAGCTCGTTTCTCCCACTTTACTCGAATGTTTTTGGTTTGATCTAACAAAAACTAGGATGAAATTTTGGTTTTGGTTCTGTACTGTACATCATTATATTAGCTAGTGCTGAAGCAACTATCCAACCACGTGTCGCCACGTAATCGAATTGAGTTTTGACTTTCAAACGGCTGTTCTCTAATAACAGTAGTCAAACGGTGCGTATTGTACTACACATGACGATATTAGTTTTTAGGGGGTCAAATTGTATATAAAGTTCTTGTACTATGCATTCTTTGTATTTAGTCCTTAATATATGCAAAAATGTCGATATTAATTATTTTGTCAAGTTATAACGAGGACTAAATCTGCAACAATGTATACCACAGAACCTACTATACAATTTGACATTTTTTTTGTTTCATTTTGTCACCAATTATTCCGTTAACAGGTGACTTTGGGTTTTGCTGGTTTGAAGAAGCGAGAAATTTCCATGGATTCTCCCACTCAAAACAGCTCCTTGCAGCGGCTTCAAAATGTGGAGAAGGTAACGAAATAACTTTCAATTTCTCTAAGGAAAGGAAAGCTAAGCTTTCCCCCCGAATAGGCAATTCTGAGAAAAGCTAGCTTTTTTGTTGTTTCGATTGGATACTGTCAACACACCTTTTCGTCCTACTAGAATTCAAACTCCTAAAGATAGGATAGAATTTTGCTAGGATTCAAAAAATAGGATAGAGTTCTACTATTATTTAAATTCCTAAAGATAGGATCTACAAGCACTATAAATAGCCATTGTAACTCACCATTTGAGGACACGATTTACACACAAAACACAGAGGAAAGCACGGAAAATACAAAGGCAAAGTTGTTGTAAACAATTCGAAAAGGAAATAAAAGGTAGCATCTTTTTTTTACATTGGTTCGTTCATTTCTCGCATGTGCACGTTATTTTTCTTGAGATTTGGTTCGAATAACCCAAAACGTGGGTTGCGTCGATGACTAAAAAAGAGTGGGATTTCGAAGTTTCGAACCTAGATCAACCCCCGAGGCGTGTTCATTTTTTTAAAATATTTAATTCTCCCCCGTAAATCATTTTTTTCCTACTTTATTATTCTTGTTATATATGCATATTATTTTCTATTAATTTTATTATATGTATATGTTTTTTTATTAGTATTATTATATATATATATATATATATATATATATATATATATATTATTTATATATTTCCTATTTTGCATGTATATATACGTATATTACTTTTGATTTTCTTTTATTATTATTATTATTTTACTTATATATATATATATATATATATTTTACTTTTTTATATATTTTACTCATTTATTTATCTATTTTTATATTTATCTTATATTTTATGTTTTTATATTCTTTTACTTGTTTTATTTATTTATTTGCATTATCATTTTATTTTTATTTAGTTGTTTGTTGTGCATATATTAGTGTTATTGTTTTTTTATTTTATATTCTATTCATTTTATATTTACTTTATTTCTTACTTAATCTCCTTATTTTATTTGTTTTACTTTATTTATTATTTATTCATCTCTTCTAACCCATATTTTGACTTTTAAAGGGTATATTTGTAAATCCGTCAAAGGTAAGTAATTTGGATTATTATTTTATCTTTTAATTTAACTTGTTATTTTTCTTAATTAAGACAACTGGAAATTACGTAGTACCGAAAGGGCGGTTCAAGGGTGCTAATCCTTCCTTGACCGTAACCGACTCCCGAGCCCCACATATTTCTGGTAAGACGCAGATCAGGTAAGAAATAGGGTATCCGATCAACCCATTTATCTTTAAATAAATGATCGGTGGCGACTCCAATCCATTTTCCTAAGTCGAAGCCCAATTCCGGGGCCCAACCGAAAGACGGTTGCGACAGCTTGGCGACTCCGCTGGGGACACAGGTAAGTGAGTCAGGCTAAGATAATTTCCAGTTGTCTTTTCAACGAAAAGGGTAAGTTTAAATTTTAAGGTAACATTTCGATCCTTATTGCTTACTTTTGATTATATTTTTTCGCGTAAATAGTTGTACTAACCGTTTTCTCAATGATTTCAGCCCTTAAAGTATTTTTTCATCTAAGGCTCTAAACCGAGCTCCAAACCCGTTTTAAGTGGGGGTGAAAGCGACGCATTCGTGTGAATTTATTCACCGCATATGCCTAGCAAGTAGCCTTCGGGATTCATACCTTATGTCTTCGTGTGAATTTATTCTCCGCATAGACATAAGGGAATGTGTCCTCTCGAGTTTAACTTAGTCCACATGAGCCTGTGATGGGTTTAGGACTAAGGGTCTGGCAAGCCCAAGGGGGCACCAACAAGGAGAACTCGGGTACCATTTTTAGCACCTAAACCTTGAGACTTTGAAGAATTAGAGCCTACCCCAAAACCTCATTTCAAACCTTAGGATGCCAGAATTATTTCATGCTTTACTTTCTGTTCAAAGCATGCGAACTAGATAAATATGCGGTTAGGACTTGTTCAAAATCAACTTGCGGGATAGAGATCATGTTCGGGTAGGAATAATAAGCATGTGAGGTAGATATCATGTGGGGTAGGACTTTCATTTTTATGATCGTTTTTGATTATTTTTCACCTCACTAACTCTTTTCATCTTTATTTTATTTTATTTTTTTATCATTTGCATCATTCGAAAGAGGTGTTGATCCACCAAAAACGTGTTTGTTAAAACTCGAATAATCTGAATCCATGGACAAAGGTGTTGTAATACAAGAGATGAAAATACAGAGGATAGTCTACAAGGCGACTATGTGTCACATTCAATCCAGAAGACGTGGTGCCCACAATTGAAGAGTATATCACTCTACTGCATTATAAAAGACCCAAAATGAACCGGGTCTACATCAAGCACAATGAAAGCTTATCTTTGAAGAACTGACTGGCAGAGGTTGCAGGGGCAAGATGAAGGTTATGTATCACGGAAGTCCCTTTGAACACAACAATGGCAAAATGATAGCTGAAATTGAAGACCATTGCCAGCGAATTCAAGAAACATATTAATGAACTTCACATAGTTCCTATCAATTAAGGGCTCCAATGACGAATTCGTTGGGAACAGGCTCAACAAAAGTTAATGCTCGAGATGCGATCATTCGAGACTTCTTGGACCAGTACAAAAAAACAACTCAACATTTTCACGGTTCATCCAGAGAGGCCGGAGCGGTTCGACAGGTTATTCAACCAGTGAAAGACGAAAGCAGAAGACTAGTCAACATGTCAGAAGCTGTCAGGATATTTTTTTCTCTTAAAAGATAAAATATTTTTGCCCCCAATAAGGATTATTCATAATAACAGTCACATTTCTTGGATCAATGCCTCGAACATTTCATGCATTCTTGCATTCTTGCATCTTCATCTACATTTTTAAGCATTTTTATAAACATGAAATTAAATCACGGAGGATTCGATGAAGTGGTATTAACCACATTACACCACATGGAAGCCAGATTTTAACAATTAAAGAAAAACTGAAATCAGTACAGGGGGAGCTGGATCAGCTGATTGTAGGACTAAGCCTGCCAGGATGATCTGAGAAAAGAGTACCCATCTCCTAAGGGCTACGATGTTGAAGTTGTTGCCACATAAGGATTCCCAAACATTCTTCTGAAAACTGTAAGGCGCTTGCCGAAGAAGGGGGCATGGCATATACCATTTGCACTTAGAGGATTATTTTGTTTGAACACATCTTTTAAACGATTGAATTCATGTTACTTTCTAAGGTGGAGCAATTGAACAAATTTTAATCTTTAGTTCTATGAATATTAAATGAATTGAGGATTCTTTTAATTCTTCAAGAATTATAGATTTTTGACATATGACAAGATTAGACCTTTCTTACCCTGTCTCAAACCCTAGAATAAAACACCTTGATTCTTTACCCAAAATAACTCATTGTCATTATCAAAAAACCAAATTTTGACATTACCTCCATTTGAAATTCTTGAACATTACCTTTATTTTTTTGATACACCCACACCTTTCTTTGAGTCAATAAGATCACACAACTGTCTTTTTAGACTCAAAATTAACCTTTTTTACCATTAAAACCCAAGGCATTGAGTTGTTCATTTGAACATGAGCATTCTTCCAAGATACAGTTTGGGGCATCTCGCCAGGAGCCTGAACATTGAGACATGTTGGGAGCAAGGAGCAGAAAAAATAATTCATTCGAAATAATTCTATCATGCATTAATTGCACTGTTTTCATGTGAATAGAATTAATCCTGAAAATCTATCCCCCTGGGGACACCTCTTCTGTGAAGACTTACATGTATGAAATGATGAACGGCTTTCTTTCTTTATCCCTTCACAACAGGAGAAATATATATCCCTTGCGTCCCCTTTTGAGCCTATAGTATTTTTTTTCTTCTGATTCAACCCTAACCAAGGATCACCCACCACACTGGGGGGCAAAGTGGAGAAAATCTGCTCACATGAGTGAAGACATTGATTCAGAGGAGATACCGAAAGGTGAACCAAATGCCAAGTGCGATGATTCAATCAGAACAAAAAAGGGCAAAAAGAAAAAAAAAAGAAGCAAAAAAGGAAAAAACAAGAACAAAAAAGAAAGAACAAAAATAAAAAAGGGAACAAAAAGTACATGCAAAATTCCCTAAAGACAAATGGTGCATCAAGCTTCAATGAGATTGATCAAGCACAATCATTCCCGAATCACTGAATCCCTTCACTCAAAGATCATAGAGCATCAAGAGAAAGAGACATTTTGAGCAAGACAAGATTGATGGCATCAGAATGAATTGATCCTTGGTTCAATACCCTGAAACACTTATTTGGGCCTATTTATCCTTTTCTTTCCTAACCACGAACCCTGGCCTACATTATGTGCCTTAAAAGTCCCTTCTAATCATACATGGATTTCTAAACAGAAGAGACTATCTTCAGATTTCATCCCGCCCATCAGGATTAATCTTTGTTTGCAAAAAAACAATGTAATTAATGTATGGTAGAGAAAAAATAACAAAGGGGGGTTCAAGACGTAAATCCTGAATAACGTCTTGAAACCAAAGGAGGATTCGAGTTGAAAACCTGAAAAGGCGACTCGAATATAAAAATTGTGCAACTGAAGCGATCACACAAAATCCTTGATAAGGCATCGCACAATCCGAGTGTGACAACGAAGGTTGGGAGTCAGAGAACACTTCCAGTAGAGAAGCATGCAAGCTACCCCATCAATCCTTTGAGCATCAAATGCCAAACCTTTGACCAAACACAATGACCTGAGACTTTTTATCCTTTCCTTACTTGACCATCTCTCAAAGATAGCTTTGATCTTGACACTTGTCAAATAGCTATAATTTAGTGAAGGATTAACATTATAATTAATTCTTTGATATCCAATGAACTCTAGTTTTATGATTTGTCTCAATTGTAAAACCGTGAAAGGGGCAATATTTTTAAAACTTGGGATTAAACATTTTTTGAAACTCTTTTAATTGATATTAAAAGAGAAAGAAAAACATTTTTTTCAAACAAGACAGTCTCTCTAGAGTGGATCTTGGTAAATGACATGTGACTCTTAGACACAAAACTCATGCTCAGAATCAATGCTGAAGCAAGAAATGAGGAACATTTGGGGCATCTTTGAAGATTCAACATGAAATATTGGAGCATTTTTTTAGGCATCTTTGGGGATTCAACATCCTAATGCGAATTATCAGGCCTTTTTCAAGAGATAAAATATAACCAATTCATGTTATATGCATCTTATGCATACATTTTAGAGCATCATTTTTTCCCACATACATAATTTTTGCAGATTTTAAAGTCAAGTTTCGACTTCAAGACGAAGGATACTCGAATCAAAAGCACCTTTAAAGATTTATGTTGGTTGCTTAACTCAGCAGCAAGAAGCTACACTTCAACCAATTTGACATATTGAAAGATCGACAGATCTTAGAATCAACTTCAGACGAGTTCGAGAGATAATTCAGAATCGATCCAGTTCGTATTTTCAAGTTGGATTTCAACTTCACGACGAAGGATATCCAATTCCTGGCTCAACTTCACGACGAAGGGGCCACCCACGATTTCAACTTCACTACGAAGGGAATCGTGCTCATCATTGTCTCTCTTGAGACAGTTTCCCTTGAAACAAACTTTGTCTCTCTTGAGACAGTTTCCCTTGAAACAAAATTTTGTCTCCCTTGAGACAGTTTCTCCTGAAACATAAACATTGAAAACATTTCCCTAGAAATGAATTTCGTCTCTCTTGAGATAATTTCCCTTGAAACAAATTTTGTCTCCCTTGAGACAGCTTCTCTTGAAACACAAAACCTTTGAGATTGTTTCCCTCGAAACAAATTTTGTCTCCCATGAGACAGTTTCTCTTGAAACACAAAATCTTTGAATTTATCTCCCTTAAAACAAAATTTCGTTTCTCATGAAACAACAGATATCTTTGAAATCGTTTCCCTTGAAACGAATTATGTCGCTTTTGAGGCAATTTCTCTTGAAGCGTCATCTTTGAATATGTTTTCATTGGAACTAATTTCATCTCCCCGTGAGACAATTTCTTTTGGAACTAAGTTTTATCTCTCTTGAGACAGTTTTTCTTAAAACAAAATTTTGTCTCCCTTAAGACCGTTTCCCTTGAAAAAACAGATATCTTTGAGATCGTTTCCCTTGAAACGAATTCTATCTGTTTCAAGACAACTTCTTTTGAAGCATCATTTGAATTGTTACACTCAGCTCAGGCACATACTTGAGATGGTCGAGAAGCATTTCTCAAATCAAAAATAGAATGTGCACATCAGATTTGAACATTTGAAGAATTCAAGATCAGGGATCAAAATTTGAAGATTCAAGAATCAAGATTCCAGACAGGCAACTAGAGATCGAGATTTCTCTCCAGAGCCCCAAGATAACATATGTTGCATATGTATTTTAGGCACACCTAAGAGCATTGCATCCATAGCATCACATATATGCATAACTTTTTCAGGTTTTAGCTAGAGTCAATTTCAACTTCGCGGCGAAGGATATTGCACTCAAAGCGACACAATTTGCTCGAGAGTGGATTTCAACTTCACGACGAAGGATATCTAGCTCGAAGCTAAACTTCACAATAAAGGGGTCTCCACGGTTTCAACTTCACGGCGAAGGGAATTGTGTCCACCCGCAACATACAATACTTGGATTTCAACTTCACGACGAAGGATATTCAAGTCAAGGCTCAACTTCACAACGAAGGGGCCATCCGCGATTTCAACTCCACGACGGAGGATATCGTGGCACTCGAGACAACACAAGTTCAACTTCACAACGAAGGGACGGCTGGTTGTCAACAAACAACTTCTCAATTTCAGAGCCAATTTCAACTTCACAACGAAAGATATTGGACTCCAGACAACGCAAGTTCAACTTCACGACGAAGGGACCGCTGCTTGTCAACAAAATTTCATTCAGATTCAATTTCAACTTCACAGCGAAGGATATTGGACTCCAGACAACGCAAGTTCAACTTCACGACGAAGGGACCGCTGGTTGTCAACAACAACTTCCCAATCTCAGAGCCAATTTCAACTTCACAACGAAGGATATTGGACTCCAGACAATGCAAGTTCAACTTCACGACGAAGGGACCGCTGCTTGTCAACAACAACTTTCCAATCTCAGAGCCAATTTCAACTTCACGAAGGATATTGGACTCCAGACAACGCAAGTTCAACTTCACGACGAAGGGACCGCTGCTTGTCAACAAAATTTCATTCAGAGCCAATTTCAACTTCACAGCGAAGGATATTGGACTCCAGACAATGCAAGTTCAACTTCACGACGAAGGGACCGCTGCTTGTCAACAACAACTTTCCAATCTCAGAGCTAATTTCAACTTCACAACGAAGGATATTGGACTCCAGACAACGCAAGTTCAACTTCACGACGAAGGGACCGCTGCTTGTCAACAAAATTTCATTCAGAGCCAATTTCAACTTCACAGCGAAGGATATTGGACTCCAGACAATGCAAGTTCAACTTCACGACGAAGGGACCGCTGTTTGTCAACAACAACTTCCCAATCCCAGAGCCAATTTCAACTTCACAACGAAAGATATTGCACTCCAGACAACGCAAGTTCAACTTCACGACGAAGGGACCGCTGCTTGTCAACAAAATTTCATTCAGATTCAATTTCAACTTCACAACGAAGGATATTGGACTCGAGACAACACAAGTTCAACTTCACAACGAAGGGACGGCTGGTTGTCAACAAACAATTTCCCGGTTCCAGAGCCAATTTCAACTTCACTACGGAGGATATTGGACTTGGAACAATGCTACTTACTTGGATTTCAACTTCACGACGAAGGATATCCAACTCAAAGAAAGATTATCTGCCATCAAAATTGTCGAGTTCGACTCCATTCAGCTCGATGACACATCAATCACACTACTTTCCGGTTGCAGTCGAGGTTTTCAAGTCGAGAAGAGGACCTGGGTTAGCCGTGCCTTAGTGACAAGCAACCATTTTCAAACAAGCTTAAGTCAAGAAAAAGCTATCTGTCAATGAAGATTTCTGAGTTCGATTCCGATCCAAGGTCTTTAAACCGAGAAGAAGACCGAAGGGTAACGGGAAGCCACGTGCTGATTCAAATTCCGAACTACGGCTTTAATTTCATATCATTTCAAGATGAACTCGACTTCACGATGGAGGAGTCATCCGTAACTCAATTCGACAAGGAGTTATTGAAACATCAGAGTCAATTTTCAACTCCACCGAACGAAAAGTGTGTCTTTTAATCTTTGCCCTATCCCCGTTACACGACTATGGGCAAAGAGGGGCAGCTGTCAACACACCTTTTCGTCCTACTAGAATTCAAACTCCTAAAGATAGGATAGAATTTTGCTAGGATTCAAAAAATAGGATAGAGTTCTACTATTATTTAAATTCCTAAAGATAGGATCTACAAGCACTATAAATAGCCATTGTAACTCACCATTTGAGGACACGATTTACACACAAAACACAGAGGAAAGCACGGAAAATACAAAGGCAAAGTTGTTGTAAACAATTCGAAAAGGAAATAAAAGGTAGCATCTTTTTTTACATTGGTTCGTTCATTTCTCGCATGTGCACGTTATTTTTCTTGAGATTTGGTTCGAATAACCCAAAACGTGGGTTGTGCCGATGACTAAAAAAGAGTGGGATTTCGAAGTTTCGAACCTAGATCAACCCCCGAGGCGTGTTCATTTTTTTAAAATATTTAATTCTCCCCCGTAAATCATTTTTTTCCTACTTTATTATTCTTGTTATATATGCATATTATTTTCTATTAATTTTATTATATATGTATATATGTTTTTTTATTAGTGTTATTATATATATATATATATATATTATTTATATATTTCCTATTTTGCATGTATATATACGTATATTACTTTTGATTTCTTTTTATTATTTTATTATTTTACTTATATATATATATATATGTTTTTACTTTTTATATATTTTACTCATTTATTTATCTATTTTTATATTTATCCTATATTTATGTTTTTATATTCTTTTACTTGTTTTATTTATTTATTTGCATTATCATTTTATTTTTTTAGTTGTTTGTTGTGCATATATTAGTGTTATTGTTTTTTTTATTTTATATCTATTCATTTTATATTTACTTTATTTCTTACTTAATCTCCTTATTTTATTTGTTTTACTTTATTTATTATTTATTCATCTCTTCTAACCCATATTTTGACTTTTAAAGGGTATATTTGTAAATCCGTCAAAGGTAAGTAATTTTGGATTATTATTTTATCTTTTAATTTAACTTGTTATTTTTCTTAATTAAGACAACTGGAAATTACGTAGTACCGAAAGGGCGGTTCAAGGGTGCTAATCCTTCCTTGACCGTAACCGACTCCCGAGCCCGACATATTTCTGGTAAGACGCAGATCAGGTAAGAAATAGGGTATCCGATCAACCCATTTATCTTTAAATAAATGATCGGTGGCGACTCCAATCCATTTTCCTAAGTCGAAGCCCAATTCCGGGGCCCAACCGAAAGACGGTTGCGACAGATACGGAGAATAATTAGGGTTTTGGAGCTGGCTGGGGGTGTCATGGATGAACTCGCGAACCCAACGGGTCCCAGGAAAGAATTTATCAACAATCATTGCCGTGAATTCATGAAGATGATCAAGGTTCCTGCTTTGTTCTGCTATATCATTTTTCTTAAACTTAAATTTACTGATAAGATTTGAATTAGGGTTTGAATTGTTAGTTTTAAAGTTCGGGTTAAATTAATATTGAATTAGAGCATTACGTATCAGTTTTTAAAGGTGGAAATTTTCCAATACTTAACACATTTAAAATGCCCAGGACATCCAAGTGACATTGAGGGATGAAATCAAGAGTGCCTGCGAGTATCGCCCATTTGAGAAGTGTGATTATAGTTCGAGAATATCGAATGAGATCTGTTTAAAGAAACTCAAATACGTGATCTCCCAGTTGGATGCGATGAAACAAACCATCAATGAATATCAAACTACCATTTAAAAGATGCAATGCTAGGAGTTAGATAGACTGCTTACTTGCTAGGTGTCTTAGTGAACAGCATGGTAAAGCTGACCTGTGGTGTATGCAATTATGAATCCTCAAAATGCATTAATTTTGTCTCTTATATCCTTCATTGAATTTTGTTATGAGATTTTTGTACGTTTGGTATTTTTTATTGCAGAACGAAAGTTTCACTGTTCTTTTAGCTTACCTCTAAGCTTTATTATGTGGTTTGGAGGTTGTTGAGAGTTTGTGCTAGAGTTTCTTATTCTTAAAAACCATTTTGTTGTTGAAGTATATTTCAGCTTATGGCTTCACCGTAGATCGAAGTGGAACTATAAAGCCACTATGCTTAGGTGGGTCGTGGGTACTATTCCTTCATAGTTTACTGAGTTCATTGAGTGTAACTCGATGCCAACATAAATAAGGTTCCATTCTGATCTTTTATAGCTTTATTGTTTCTTGATTTCAAGTTCTAGTTATTCTTGTACCTTCTGCAGCCTTCTCGTGTCTTTCAAGTCTCCTCTCCCAAAGCATGCAGTGATGTTTATCTTCAGTTGGTTTCAAGAAGTTGAATGCTGGTTAATGAGCCTTGCATTTGTGCCATAGAGCCTCATTCAGGGCCATAGCTTTTATCACACTGTTGTACAAGAAATAGTCATAATTGAGTATAATGCAAGTTCGGTTCAGTATTTCATTTCAGTTATCAAGGTTTCAGTTTCATAAGGCGTGCTGCAGAGGGCTAAATATCATTGTTGCATAAGAAAGCCACGGGAAAAAAGATGATGTTCTTCTCTTCTTATGAAACGTTAGTCTTCGAAACCTAAAAATTTGATTTGACTGAGTTCATTCATTTCTTTCATATTTTGTTTCATTTCTTGGATCCATTCCCATAAGAATTTAGATGTTCAAGATCTTATTTGCTTTTCAAGTTTAATATCTAATTAACATATAATAAATATCCTCCTAGCTTAAATCGGAGGGCAACAAAATTTAGAGGTAAGACTTTTCCCGAACAAATTTAGAGAGAAAGGGTCTATTGTCTGCAACTGTAAGCTTCACTGCATTTATGACTATCTGCTTCTGCTTAATTGACTTAGTTTTTGTGTTTTGAATGAAATGGTATGTATGGGTCTGGTTTTGAATACCTTGGGAATTTTTTTTGGGGAGGGGGAATGTTTTGGCCTATAGCCGATTGAGGTGGACAAATCTTGAAGAAATTTTCTCCTGAATTCTGAAAATTAGGAATGATTGACAAGGATCGAACAAGAAAACCCGGTTTTTGTTTGAAAATTATTTTGATGTTTTGTTGATTTTATTCCAATTATGCTAAGAAGAGAATGAGGTAGAGCTAACAAGAACTAATTCATAGCATGACTGCATGAGCATGGTTCTACTTTTAAGTTGTGCACTGCACAGGGACAGAACTAGATGGACTTTATTTTTTGGTCCATTGACAATTTAGGTCCCGAAAAGTTTAAATATTAGTTAAATTAATCTTTGCCTCCTAACTTTTGGGTTTAAATACTTAAATAGATCCTTGTTTTTTTTAAAGTTAGGCAATTTAGTCCCTCCCATGGTTTGATCTTAGTTCCGTCCCTGGTTGTGCATACACTTTCAATGTATAACTGCATCTGCATCATGATCTTTCAATGTAGTTAACACTAGATAATTAATCGATACTTTATTCAGATAGAACGCTTGCATATACATATATCTCAAACATTTTTTCCAGATATCATGTTGCTTTCATATGGCATCTGCTGAGATTATTCATTTATTTATAAATCTTGTACCGTGGCCCCCAAGGATATTCTTGAATCATATGGCGAATTAATTTAATTGTGATGAGTATTTTCCTTATTATTCATTAAGATGTACCCTGTCTAAATCAGAAACTTTGAACTTTCAGATCTTAGCTTAGGGTATCTCTCAAGCTTTGTAGAAGGATTTGTACTAAAAGATTCTCAGATTTTCTGCTTAAATCACTCCGGAAACCAGTACTTTTTTTTACATAGATTTAAGTGATTATAAGATAATATTTGTACATAATATTTTTTAATCATTAACATCATACACGCTATGTAAGCGCAGTTGTTCGAATCGGGGCTTCTGAAATCTTATGATTAAGTTAATTAATAATTATAAAAGTTAGTTGGTTTGATTATTATATAAAAAGGTTGATTAAGTCAAGTTAGAAAAATTAAATTGATGGAATTAAAGGATTTGCTCCTTAAACATGCCACTGCCATTTCCACCAACCTTATTTGATTATTATGTAATATTTTTACGTGTAAAGAGGGACAGTACAGTGGGACAAACAGGGACAGGTCGAAAGAGTAGGTTCCATAACACCGGTAAAGCGACTACCCAACTGCAACCCTAAACGACGACGAATCATAACAGAACCATACGATGGAAACTGTCAGAACTCTTGATTACTGTACACCCTTTCACTCAAATTAATACCCGCATCGCACTCGAATACACACCCCTAGACACCAGCCAACCCCTAAACTATGATTTTTGTGTCATTCTGATCATTAAACTTTAAAAGTTATAGAATGGTCATTAGATTTGTTGAAAATTTACAATTTGATCACTCCACCTTTACGTACCGTTAAGTGGATCATATGGCACATTAACTCATTGGTTAATATTTTATTTGACCCCTTGATTATAATTAAAAAGTTATTTTAATATTTTCTAATATTTTTAAGAATGATTTTTAAAAAATATAAGAAATTTTAATTTTAAATAATTATAATTCATTTTTAGAATTATAAAATTATTTTTTGAAATTATAATTTTATATAACTTTTAAAAAATGTATGGCAGTTGCAAAGTTCTTAACAATAAGACTTAACAAAAACAAGGGTAAAGAATACTAATGGTCACTGAACTTTTCCAATGCTTTCATTTCTGTCCCCCAACTTTTAAAACTTGCAATACAGTCCCCCAACTTTTAGTCTGTTTGCATTATGGTCCCCCAACAGTTACGTCGGGGACCATATTGTAAACAGACTAAATGTTGGGGGATCATATTCCAAATAGACTAAATATTTGGGGATGGTATTACAAGTTTAAAAAGTTGGGGACCTAAATGAAAGCTTTAGAAAAGTTCAATGACCATTACTATACTTTACCCTTAAAAGGGTTATATCATTAGTTTTTAATTCTACAATCAAAAATTTTAATTTTTTATTAAATTAATTATGTACTATTTTAATGCTAATATGAAAACAATCTTTTTATTTCTTGTCTGATGATATAACATTTGTTAATTTTTCTCTTTTTATTCTATTCGAAGATATTGAATTTCATCTGAAATTTAAAAATTATTTTAAAATACTATAAGTACACTTATCGAACCCATGCCATAATTTCAAGTAAGACGGATACTCGAAAAATTGTTTCCTGTTTTTAACTTTTAACTAAATAATAAGATTAAATTATTTTATATTAAGATTAGAATAATTAATTATACACATGTAATTAATCAGTTTGGATATCCAAAAACTAATAATCAAGTCAACCTTAATAGCCACCACGAGCTCCATCGTCCATCATCACTTCACTACAACCAAATCTGCAACGAAAGAGAGCATATTCACAAAGAATTAAAAGAAGAAAAGAAAAGAGGAAATCGAAATCGAAAAAGAAGAGAGGGAGAGAAACTTATATCATTTGAGTTCTCGGGTTCCTTATACTTAGAGCACAACCTTTTGAATCCCGATGGTGAACGTGTACCCCACGCAGAATAGAGCAATATACTTCAAAATTAATAAAATCCGTCGACGGGCAACAAAGATAAGAAAATATATATTTTTTTTAAAAAAATTGTCATTTTGGACTCAGCTTACATCTTTAGAGGAAGAATGAGTTGATAGTTGTAATCAAGGCATATTTAACTTGTTTTTAGAACATACACGTGTCCATCTTGATATTTGAATTTTCTCGATTAATTACTCATTTGATTGATTGTGTTCATTCTAAAATTTTATTTGTATCCGCCTCGTATAAAAAAATTTATGCTATATGTGATCACCCTAAAAGATAATTTTTATATATGTCAATGTTATAATAACCAAGTTTCATTCAGGCTAACAAGGACCATCAAAGTCGTTAATAGATATTTATGACTTTGATAAAATCATCAACATCTCTTTACAATATTAACTTAAAAAGATTCACAATTACCAACAACGTAGAATAACTTTACATAATATAGTGTTTATCATGAAATTCTGTTTGTGTCTACCTTATTTAAAAATGTTATGTTATTAACATACATGTACTCACCCTACAAAATATTTCGGGATCCCCACTAATTTTAATTTATAAGTTTTAAAAAATAGTAATCACCAAGTAATTCATCCTATTTATTTTGTATATCTAAAACTATCGTCACCAAAATTCTTCCAATATGAAATGTCAAAGAAATAACTAAAGCTTGGGATATTTGTATTTGACCAATCTGCTTTGGTTTTAGGTTTAATTAGCTATCCTATAGCCTTATCGGTTATTTCGTGGAGAAATTAAAATATCATTTATTTCTCTTGAGGTGTATAAATATAATATTTCATATTTTAATTCTTAATAATAATAGCTGCACTTGATTTATTTGATTAACTAATTAAAAGAATACTTTATTTTTAAATCTCATTCTTGGTAAAAGCTTATTATTTATTTATTTATTTATTTTGTTAGAAAAATGTTGATAGAGATTAATACAACTTTTTTCAATAAAAAATGTTAAGATCATATGTGTGAAGCATGATATAAATGTAATTCTCCAATATACCCCCATAGATTAATTAATAAATAAAAAAAATACTTTTTTATCAAAAAAAATAAACTAATTATTTTTACTTAATTTTGGTCGGTGCATACCTTGAAATAGCGAGTGAGGTTATCATTTTCCTATTAGGAAATTCCTTTAATGAGGTGAAAGACTAATATCTTATGGTTAAGTTAAGGGTAAAGTAGAGTAATGGTCACTGAATTTTTCTAAACCTTTCATTTAGGTCCTCTAACTTTTAAAATTTGTAATACAATCCCCCAACATTTATTCTGCTTGCAATATGGTCCCCAACATAATGGGGACCATATTGCAAGCGGAATAAATGTTGGGGATTGTATTACAAATTTTAAAAGTTAGGGGAGCTAAATGAAAGCTTTAGAAAAATTCAGTGACCATTAGTATACTTTACCCTAAAAACAATCAATACACAAAAATCTGTCACAAAACCAAACAATGCGGGACAGATTACATACACAACTTATCTTCCATAAACAAATACGCAATTGAAATTGTTTTTTATTTTCATATATTTTAAAAATATTGAGATTTAAGATTTTTTAAAATTAATATTTAAAAATATTAGAAAATATCAAAAATATTATAATTGATGGGTCAAATCAAAAATTAATTATTAAGTTAACATGCAACATCATTCTTTTAATAACAAATAATATCAGTGTAACCAAAATATAACTTTTTCATAAATTTAATGATGAGGTTATAATTACTAAATGTTTAACAATCAAAACAAAATCATAGTTTAGAGGTTATTGATATATTTTATTATTTTTTGTAATGCTGTTAGTGTATCCAAATAGCTAATAATGTCAACTTTTAATATTATAAAAAGGCCTAGATTTTTCATCTTTATTTAATCATATAATTTTATATGAAAATATATTGAATCATGTTCAATATACAATAAATTAAAATATCAGCTGAACATTTGATATATTTATTTTTTTAAAATGTGTATATTTTTTTATTCTAGGTAATTATAAAATAGTATTTATTCAAAATACTCTCAATCATTTGACAATAAATGCTCAAACATCTTTATACAAATGTCATGCTCGAACTTGAAATCTTTAAAGATGACAATTATTTCTTAACCACCAATATCATTTGATTCATGCATAACCAAAGTTGATTAATAATACTATCAAATAGCGACATAATCAAAAACAATTATAAATATAAAATTCATACCAAAATTTAAATAGAAGAATCAAACTCGTTAAGTCATTGGTGTAATTTAGAAATGACTTGTGTTACTTAAATCCTTGACATCAAATCTCGAACTCGAATTATGTATTTTAATATAGTAAAGGGACTAAAACTAGAGTTTGACCTAAAATTAATAAGAAAGAACTATAATAATACTTTAAATACCTCATCGACTCTTCTAAGTCTAAAAAATTCTATTCTGTTGGATAACAAACCTTCTCTCTATGTCTCTATAAGATTCTCCGGCCGATCATCAAAATCGGAAACTATGAAGAAACTCTACCGTCGAGGCACCACCGTTCATCCATCATCGTCTCCATCAGTCACCGCCGATCATCTATCTTTCCTTCCGGCCACCATCTTAACCCTCGTTGCTGCACTTTCCCCAGAGGACAAACAAGTCTTGGCCTACCTCATCTCTTGCTCCAACAACGATTTCGGCGACTTTTCAAGCCACCGTAAGAACAACACCCCAAAAACACAAGCTAAAAGAAGCTTCAGCAGCGGAAGCGGAGGCGACCATCCGCCTCTTTTCACCTGCGATTGTTTCAGGTGCTATACGGGTTACTGGGTCAGGTGGGACTCGTCTCCGAACCGGCAGCTGATACACGATATCATCGATGCTTTTGAAGATGAGGTTGCCCGAATCAAGAAGACAAAGAACAAGAAGGAAAGGAAGAGAGGTGGTTCTGGTGATAACAGTTCCTGTGGTATGAAGAAACCGGAGGAAAATTCCGGTGAGTTGAAAACGACTGAACCGAGCGGCGGAGAAGGAGGCGGCGACGGTGGCGAAGGGTCGGTGAGGAGGCTGGTGAACTTCATCGGCGGGAGGATTTGGAATGTTTGGGGTCAATGAATTTAGACGAGGATCGAGGGAAAAGAGGTGAAGTTTCAAGTCTTTTCCACTCTCCAAGAGAAAAGTAAATGAAATTACTTTTACTTTTACCTAATCAAATTCTCTTCTTCTTATGTATATTACGCCATCTTACAATGTAAGAAAATGGGTAATTTTTAATCTTAAAATCATCATGTTTTTTTTCTTTGAAGTAAATCAAAGAATTTAATCCGAAGTATATGAAGTTTAATGAGTATTACTTTATGCAAATTCAATTAACAATCAATTAGTATAATTGGATGATGCATTAGATTCTTTATTTAAGTAAAATTGTATGACTGAATATTGATTTGTGTATAAAATAAATTTAAGTTGGGAATCTCACATCATATTAAACTTTTATAATATTCAATCTGAATTAATTTATTAATAAATTGAATACATATTATTATAATAAGATATGATGCATAAAATTGAAGTTAAATACAAATGAACAAGGAAGAAATATAATAAAAGTAAAGGTATGACTCCCCCACGAGTTACAGTCTAAATCCTGCTTTTGAGTTGTTCCCATGGCCATAATATTCCTTACATAAATGAGATGAATAAATGTCCTTTACTACTACAACTATACTGCTGCCCTCATTTCATTGTCCTCTTCTTCGTTACACGCACTTCTGACTTTTTAGCTTCTAAATTAATCAAATCTTAGCTTAACTGAAATATAAGTATTCAAATTATATTTCTTAGTTTATTTTAGGTGTTTGAAATATTTTTTCTTCAAAATAAGTCAATGATAGATTTATAAATATCTTTTAGAATAGATACACAAACATTTATTATACAAAAAAATTTTAATGATATAAACACGAATAAAATTTCAAGGTGAACACTATTAATAAAATATATATAATTAATCAAAAAATAGATTTCAGGGTAGACACATGTTTACTGTGAAAAAACAATGGATCCGCCACTGAAGTAAATACTTAATATTTTTATATTATCATTAAAAGTATTTAAAATTTAATTTCATTATCATTTTAAATATTTTTGTATTATCATTTAAAGTATTTAAATTTAATTTCGTTGTAATTTTAAAGTTAACACGTGAATCGTCGTTAAAAGAATTTATTAATCAGCAATTACGTTAATTAAAGACATATACGTGCATAAGTGATTCTATATAAAAATCATGAGATAATTTTGGTTATTTATTTTCATTTCATTCTACTATAAAAGGTTGTCCCTTATTCCCATATGTAATGGGGTAAGGGGGAGGTAAGATAGTAGGCTACCCCAACTCTAGGTTAAGAGCAGCTTCCGTTTGAGACATCCGAATTATAAAATGCCCTCCATGAGACTCGATCCCATGACCTCAAGGTTAAAAATCTTGTACTCTACCAACTGAACTAGATAGATATTGAGCCATCAAAAAGGGAAAAGAGGGGACAAACTGAGTCAAGTCTGAGTGACCCATTCCCGAGTCCAAACCCATCCCATTATCTTTCCTTATATTCCATAGTCGTATCGTATCCTTTTGTCTCATCTATGTTTCTCTGCAACAATTAAGAATTTAAGATTGGATTTTAGTGTCCTACATAATGCTCTCAATTTCTTACAAGTAAAGAATTTTTTTTAATAATATGAGATAATTATAATATAATATATCTTCAAAATTTTCTTAATATATTAATTTTGTATATAAATTTTGTAAAAAATAATTATTTAAATTCAAGATTTTTAATAAAAATAAATTTTCTCATTATTAAGTCCGTTTAATGAGCTCTAATATGTAAAGTTTTTCTAAGTATAGATTCATCTGTTCAGACATTGAAAGATTGTTTTTAAACAGCTTAAGAAATTGAGTTGGAAAAATCGAGAAACACGCCCTAGTTGGACCGAGTCAAGTAGTCCAAAGCCAGTTTTATACGGAGACTCGAAGCTTTCCTAAGTCAGCTCAGCTAGCCGCGTTTGAATCTTTCTCCCGAATTGAATTTTAATTAGATGGACCAAACTTTACTCTTTTTTTTATTATTTAATATAGATATTCAATTATTTAGATTCAGATTATGTTGACGAAAACGGGTAAAGAAAACGAAAGAACACGAGAATTTTACGAGGTTCGGCAATGTGCTTACGTCCTCGGTGCCTAGGCGGCGCTAGAAGTTTTATTCAATGATCTTTTAGGTCTAGGTTACATCTCTATTTATAATAGAAAACTCTGGTACATAATTACAAAATCAACCCTGTACCGTACCGCGGGGGCTGCGCCCCCACACCCCCAACCCACATAATTCGTAACCCCACAACGAGACTTTTTATGAGCCATACATAACAAATCTCCACCTTGGCGAATATCCTGCCCCTTGGAAACTTCAATGTGGGTTGGGTTACCTTGCTTCTTTAACAACTCGAAACATTCAACAAGTCCAAGCAATGCTTGAACTTGTCTGTCGTAACTGGCTTGGTGAACATATCAGCGGCATTTCTCAGTATGTACCTTCTGAACAAAACCTCTCCAGATGCAACCAACTCTCTGATCTTGTGGAACCTTACATCAATGTTTAGTTCTAGCACGATACACCTGATTCTTAGCCAAGTGAATAGCACTTTGATTATCACAAAGCAACTGAACTCCACCTTGTTGAACACCCAACTCCTTCACTAAACCAGTAAGCCATAAAGCTTCTTTTGCAGCTTCAGCCGCTGCCATGTATTCAGCTTCAGTTGTAGATAGTGCCAAGACAGATTGAACAGTAGACTTCCAGCAAATAGGCCCTCCACCAAGAGTAACACATACCCTGTCGTAGATCTTCTATTATCCAGTCACCTGCATAATCTGAATCACATATCCTACAACCAAAGGATTATCCCTGACTCCCAAAACAATTCCATGTCCACAGTACCCTTTAAGTACCGAAAGATCCACTTGACCTGCATCCCAATGTTGCTTACCAGGTTTAGACAGTACTTACAAACTTGACTAACAGCATGAGCTAAATCAGACAAGTACATACCATGCATACATCAGCAGCCAACAGCATTAGAATACGGAACCTTTGCCATATTTCAGCTCCTTATTTGTCTTAGGGCACTGTTCTGATGAGAGATTAAAGTGATTCGCCAATGGAGTGCTAACTGGTTTCGCGCTGCTCATCGCAACCTTTCTAGCATTTTCTCAACATAACCCCGTTGAGATAGCCGCAGTTTCCTTGAGTCTCTGTCCCTGCAAATTTCCATTCCAAGAATTTTCTTTGCAGCACCTAAATCTTTCATATCAAATTCCTGACTCAATAAAGTTTTCAAACCGATAACATCATCCATGTTCTTCGCAGCAATCAACATATCATCAACATACAGTAATAGAAAAATAAAGAACCATCATCAAGGCTCTTAACATAGACACACAATCTACTCACATCTGTTGTAGCCAATCTTGATCATATAGGAGTCAAACCGTTTATACCACTGTCTCGGAGACTGTTTTAACCCGTACAAGATTTCTTCAATCTGCAAACTAAATGTTCGTTTCCAGGTTGAGTGAAACCTTCAGGTTGCCGCATGTAGATCTGCTCCTCTAAATCACCATGCAAAAAAGCAGTTTAACATCCATCTGCTCTAAATGCAAATCCCAACTAGCCACCAATGCAAGTACTGCTCGGATTGAAGTGTGCCTGACCACAGGAGAAAAGATTTCATCATAATCAACTCCTTTCTGCTGTGAAAAAACCCTTCGCTACCAAACGAGCCTTGAACTTCTCCCCCTCTTTTTCTGTTACTGCTGGTTTCTTCTTATACACCATTTGCAACCAATCGGCTTCTTACCCTCAGGAAGGGGAACTAACTCCCATGTGCGATTGTGATTCAAAGACTCCATCTCCTCAACCATGGCTGCCATCCACTTGTCGTTTTCCTGACTAGTAACGGCATCATGAAAAGTAACTGGATCATCACTGCTAACAGTAAGTGCAAAAGATACCAAGTCTTCAAAACCCAATCTGTTCGGAGGCTTTATATTCGTCCGTCTCACCCTGTCTCTGGCGAGACTATAATCCTGCAAATCATCCGTAGTGGAACCACCAGAAGTCGGTTGAGAAGTTTCTGGTTTCTCAACTGGAAATGCTCGAAATCTACCACTGTCGTGTCTTGCTTCTGCTGCAACATAGACTGTTCATCAAAAACGACATCTCTACTAATCACAACTTTCTTCGCAACTGGATCCCAGAACTTGAATCCTTTGACACCTTTCTTGTAACCCAGAAAAATACACTCCTTCGATTTTGCATCAAGTTTGGATCTCTCATCAGCAGGTACATGCACATAAGCAGGACAACCAAAAATCCGTAAGTTATCAAAACTAACATCATGACCAGTCCATACCTTGTGTACTCCGTACCATTGTCAGACCGCAAACACTTGATTTTTCGTCCTGTTTGGTTTTCTACTCAGCTTTCCACAACTTGAACTTCTCAAAAACTTCAGATTTGTTTCAAAAAATACACCCAAACTTTCCGTGAAAAATCATCAATAAAAGTAACATAGTACCTAGATCCACCCAAGACGATGTCGTGGAAGGCCCCCATACATCAGAATGCACATAATCAAGAATCCCTTGAGTTGTGTGCTTCGCAGTCTTGAAACGGACTTTAGTCTGTTTACCAAGAACACAATACTTGCAAAATCGAGCTTAGCTTTTGACACCATGCAACAAGTTTCTCTTGTAATTCTGCCATACCACGTTCACTAAGATGAGCAAGGCATATGCCACAATTTTGTCGTATCATCACAGGACTCAACAGAGTGAACTCCACCTGCAACGGTACTCCCTAACAATCTGTAGATATTCCCTGCAGTCATCTGCCTTTCATCACAGTCATGCTCCTTTAACAATCCGAATGGTTTCCCTATCCTCGTCAGCCTTAGGGATAAAACCATTCTTGTGCAAAGTGCCCAAGGAAATCAAATTCTTCTTCAAGTCTGGGATATGTCGAACACCACTCAACGTCCGAACGGAGCCATCGTGCATCTTAATTCTGACATCACCAATACCACAATATTGCAACATCGATCATCACCCAAATAAACCGAACCAGAATTAACCGGCCTGTATGTCGAAAACCATTCCCTATTTGGCGTGATGTGATAAGAACATCCAGAATCAAGAATCCAAGCATCCGTCAATTGTGTCGTTGAAATAGAAA